GGGTGGGTGGGGGTGTGTGGGTGGGGGTGTGTGTGTGCGTGTGTGAGTGTGTGTGTGTGTGTGTGTGTGTGTGTGTGTGTGTGTGGAGGTGGAGGTGGAAATGGGCAGCAGGGAGGAGGAATGTGAAACATTTCTGGTGCCGGACTAGAGGCTCTTTACACAGCAGTGACATCAGAGGCCAGACTTTATAAATGTCAGCAGGCATGAGAACGAGCTCTTAGCGAACGACTCCCATCCATCACACAGCAGGAAACACCTAGCGGCACCAGAACCACGATGGACCGACTGGATCGCTGTGTGATTACTCTGGCTGTGCTGCTCTGTGTGGCCACACAGGTGAGGCCTGCTCACACTTGTAACTTAAAATCAACTGTCAGGAAGTGGAAAAAGGGTCAGAATTAAAACAATAAGGTCAAATTTCTGTGATTTTTGTCTTAATTATAAGCCTGAAAATGCAGGAAAATAACTGAGGTGGAGATTTGATTCATTTATTAATTTGATTCATGTTTATTTTAAGAGTCCGGTCAGTATTTCACTCAAATTGAGTCTAAATATGATTAAAAATTAATTTAGAATTCATATATCTACTGATTATTTTTTATCATGGATGAGCATTTGATTTTCAAACAAAATCAACAACACCCTAACTTTAAATTTAAACTTTTAGCAGATAATTAGCATGGAAACATTGTAAATGCTTTTAGTTTATTATGAGGTAAATAAAAAACACGAAATATCTGCCTGTTAAACATGCAGCCTGGTATCAATTCCTATTTTTTGAATTGAAAACAAAAACATTTTTCAGTAAACTTGAATCTTTAAAAATGTCCCCATTATTTTTTCATCAGCTGTTTGACGACATCATCCACAAATCTTAGTAAAGATTTCAAAAACAGAAACATTTAAACCTGATTTGAGTGAATTTATCATGTAGATAAAAAATCAAATGGTAAAAAAAATATTTGTTCAGATTAAATTGTTGAAATGAATGTTTTGGGAAATTTTCTAAGATTAATCTAAACATTTCTGACTTTTGTTCTCGCAAATATTCCACTACACAGCTCAGAAAAAAAAATCTATTTGAATCTAAAATTTTGGGTTAGGGTTAGGTTTTTTGTGGTAAAAATTTACTCAATTTTTTTCTTTACACAAAATTGCTTTAACACAACGTCGTAGAACCCTTAAATGTTTGCTCCAACTGTGATCCAGCCCCTGAATATTTCCATATTTTTTCCTTTGGAGCAGCTTTCTGTCTGTTTTCATCCTTTGCATGTTTCATTCTCGGACCTCCTCACCATTTCTCGTGTTTTTCTTTCAGGTTCTGTGCCAGCTGTGCAACAGGCCCTGCCTTTGCCCTGCCTCTGTGCCTCAGTGCGCTGCAGGGGTCCCTCTGGTGCCGGACGGCTGCAGGTGCTGCCAGGTGTGCGCTCGGCAGCGAGGCGAGCCGTGCTCAGAGATGCTGCCCTGCGACAGGCAGAAAGGACTGCAGTGTGACTTCAGCGCCAGCTTCCCCGGAGGCCCTGGAGAGTGTGTCGGTGAGTGAAAGACACACTTGGGAGGAATGACAGAGCAAATCCACATGAATGAGCAACACAGACAGTGAATGTTTAGAGTCTGTGGAGCAGGGAGGAAACAGCGAGGGGTGGCAGTGATATTCCAGGAAGACTAAATGTTTTTATTTCTATTTCCATTGCTCCTGTTGGCACTTTTTGTTTGATGACTGTCCTTTGATGGACTAGCTGCGTTTCCTTTAGCAAAATGTTGATGTTAGTCTACCAATGTCGGAAAACACAGTTTTGCAACTATTTTGGTATTTCAGTTAAATAAGGAACACAATTAGGATCACACATGAAGAGGTTTGTTAACTATAAGTCATTAAAAATATTGTACTATTATCCTCTCACCACTTCCTGTCATCTTCTTCGTCTTCTCCGTCAGTAGTAAGGGTTGCTGATTACATCACTGGTGCAAAACTCTGTTGATATTTCGCTAATGTTGAAAAAACACAGTTAAACGCAATCAAAATCACACATGTATGTGTGTTCACTAGATAAGTCATTAAAAAATATGCTACACCATCATCCTCCTATCACTTCCTGCCATCTTTGTCATTTCTGACAGTAGTAACATCAGGTTGTTATTCCCATTAAAAATATATATCTTTCTATTGCAGTTTTGCAAAATAAACTAACATTGCACATCATTCTAGCGCAAAACCTACATTTTATTTTTTTTAAAATGTGTGTCGGGGTAGGGGAGTTGGCTTGTTTGTTTTGTTTTGTTTTGTATTTTTGTCAAACAATTTGCTCAACTTTATAGTAAATGCAGCTACAGGTGAAAGACAAAGGGCCTGATTATTGCTGGTCATGTTTCCAGGCAATTGTGATGCAAATTTTGGGCAACTTTTTAAAGATGTTGCAAAAAATAATATGTGAATTAGTCATGTTTCCATTTACTGGTTTGAAGCAAATCAACCAAGCCATGCAAAGCATAATTTCATCAGATGTTGATACGTATGGCTGTAAAAATTTAAACCGTACATCTTTGAAAAGTAGAAGTGGAGCCTTCTGCACAACAAAAATGCAGAAGACTTGTCTCTTCCAGCAGCCATTGTACATCACATAGACAGGTAGCTGCTTTTGGCACAGCTACCTAGAACTTAGTGCCAATAAAACAGTTGGGTGATTTTTAAGCACCTTGGCTGTTTTTGGTAGCAGTTGAGATCCAAATTTAAGTACAAAATCATGCTAAATGTGAATTTTGATAATAGGTCCCCTTTCCTGATATTTTTTCTGCAGATAATGAGGATCTGAGCTGCACGGTGAACGGCATCACGTACCTCAATGGCCAGTCGTTCCAGCCGTCCTGCGACTCTTTCTGCCACTGCAGAGGCGGAGGGGTGACCTGCGTGCCGGCCTGTCCGCTGACCGGCCGTCTTCCCACTCCGGACTGCCCCAGCCCGCAGTTCATCCGTTTACCAGGGAAGTGCTGCAGGGAATGGGTGTGTGAAAACCTGGAAAACACCGTGATTCAAGATGCCATTACAGGTAAGAGACACCTGGATGGGATGGATGAACACACATTGGATCCAATTCAGAAGAACATTTATAATAAACTGAAAACAAACCATTCTGGAAATTGAAAGAGGTTGCAGAATTATTCAATTTCCCCTTATTTAAAGAAAAAACATTTAATTGAGTTTTTTGGGATTTTATGTGTTTCACTGACACAAAAGGGCGTGTAAATGTCAGGAGACGAGGAAATGAAATAAAATAAGTTTTGCTCCATTTACTCTGATCGCCATAAATGAAATCCAGTCAGTTTATTAGTAAAAAGGCTTCAGATGTTTGTTATAAAAAGAATTAATGAAAAAAAATAATGAAGAAAAAGAAATGAAAGATGTAGAAAAGCTAAAATGTTTCCTTTTTCTCCTTCTGTATGTCTTTCGTTCTTTCTGTTTCTTTTTGTCCTTATTTCTGTTTTTGTTTCTTTTTTCTTCTTTCTTCCTTTCTGTCTGAACTAGTTTCTTTCTTTCTTTCTTTCTTTCTTTCTTTCTTTCTTTCTTTCTTTCTTTCTTTCTTTGTAATTCTTTCTTTGTCTTTTTCCTTTCTTCAAGTCATTAAATCATCCTTTTTATTCTTTCTTTTTATCTTTTTTTCTAACATTGCTAAATAGAACATGACTAAAAGCAGAAAAAAATCCAACAAAATGATCTGTGAAACAAAACAAAAAGCTTTTTGAAAAGGCAGCAGGAAGCAGCATCCAGTCCTGACTGTAATGTTTAAAACATTTCATGTTGTGGTTTTCAATCCTCCTTCTGAAAATGGAAAGAGTGCACAGTCATCCATCTAACGGAGAAAACATTTTACATAACCATAAAAAACTCTCTCCATGATAAAACATGGTGGTGGTAGGATTATGACGTGGGACTGGGTGTAAACCTGGTAGAGATAAAACTGTAATTGTACCAAAAACTCAGACGGTGAATACAAGTCCAAGCCACACTTTATACTTTCACAATTATGCACAATTTTATTTTTGTCTATCACATAATAAAATACATTAATGCTCAAGGTTTCAACTTGACAGAATATGCTTCCTGCTGTGATTAGCATCTGTTTAGACTATTTTAAGATGTGGAGAGAGAAACAGGAAAGCTGTATATGTTGACAAAGAACAGATTTTGACACTTAGTAAGATTAAACACTTGAAATGTGTTAATTAATGAGCTTTAGTTGTCCAGCTGGGAGGATTTTGTGTTCCAGACTTTAAGCTAACATAAGCCATCTGCTGGCTGCGGTTCTGTGTTTAATAGCCGTTTCTAAAATCACAAAGCTTTTATTCTGGAAACTGACAGTATAGTTTCCAGTGTTTGGGTTCATGTGGCTTCATTTCTGTCGATCAGTTAGCAAATGTGTAAAATAATCGTTCAATCTGCTTTATGAGCTCTGTCGATGTCTGGAAGTTTTTACTGGAGCGTTTTCACTTTAAACCAGGGTGTGTCCGGCCAGAGGAAAATTCCAAAAGGCCAAATATAAAACACATTTTTCCTCTTTTTGGGGGGTTCAAAACATTTCATTTTGTCAGTCACCATGTTTCCTCGTTTCATAACAGAAACCGCAGCTGGGGAAGGTTTAAACACGTGAAGATTACGTTACTCTGTTAAAAAAAGGGGAGTGAGTGTTTGTGCACGAGGCTGGTGTTGGGAAAAAGAAGCCAGTCATCCAGCTCTGTCTGAGCAACACTTCATTATGGGAACAGCAAAAGAACATTTTGTTATTGTTGTGCTTGAAAAACATGATTTTGAGTCAGTTTTGAAAAATAATGTAGTTTTTTATAGTACAAGAATGAAAAACATTGAGAGCTGTTAAAATGTGGTTCTTTAAACTTAGAAGAATGAATGAAGACAAACAGACAAATCATGTTTAAATCATCACTTTCACCAGTTAATTTCTGCATTAAATCACAAAGTCTGACCAAAGTGAAACTCTCAGGGTCCATCTATGAGACACATGGTTTTGGTTTGAAAATGTTTCTCCACCAGTCAAAGTTTCCTACTTTCACAAAAACATCCACAGCTGCGTTCTTATGAAGCATTACATTATATCCTGGAATATTTCCTGCAGCTGCTTTTCTCCTGGGTGGCTTGGAGTGGAGGGAGGTTCGTACAGGTACATGTCAAAAAGTTAGTATCATTTAAAAAAAAACTAAAACTGGAAGTATTGTGTTAGAACAATTCATACAAGAGCATTAATTTATCTAATCAAAAATAAATGTATGTATATTTCTTGGGATTCTGTCTGTCTGTCTAATATATAAAATATATATAAAATATTACATATATAATTTTGTATATATTATATATGTGGTATTTTTAAGAATAGATATATAATACATACAATTATTATACATATATTTTAGATATTAAAAAATATAGATTTCTATATATTTTTTGTTTATTTATTTATTGGATTTTACATGTATGTCTTTATTGAAGAAGAAGACTGTATGCCTCTTTTTTTTTTACATCATCATAATTCTCTGTGGGGGGCACGGTCCCCCATCTCCCCTCCCATGGGGTCGCCACTGTGAAAACATCCCAACTTTACATTTTTAAGAAACTTTGAGTCTATATGAGACTCTTATTCTAATATCTTACTATTTATCTCAAAGTTTATTATCTTGGTGCCACGCTGACCAAACCCTTCATGCTGCAGATTTCTCCAACTCACTGTTTGTTTCTGATTCTCTTCCAGCCATGAATCCAGGCAGGTCGGGGTCAACGATGCCAGGAGCTCCTGTCCTGAAACAGCTGGTCCAGCCAGCCTCCAGCTGCGTGGAGCAGGCCACCCAGTGGAGCGCCTGCTCCCAGAGCTGCGGGGCCGGCATCTCCACTCGGGTCTCAAACCAAAATCCTGCCTGCAAGCTGCAAATGGAGACCCGACTGTGCAAAGTGCGGCCCTGCGGGGCCGTTCAGCCTGCGCTAAGGAAACCCAGGGTAAGCTCAGACAACTCTACATTATCAAAATGTTTCAAATGTTTCTGATCAATTAGCAATAGGAAGTGTGCTTGCTAAAAAAAAAAAAAAAAAAAAAAAAAAAAA